ATTGATGTGCCATCCTGGAGGAGTTGGACTGCCTGTGCAACCTCTGTAGGGTCCAGGTAGCGCCTCATTCTAACAGTAGTGACGGTGACCCTAGCCAAATGCAAAACTGGTGAAAAAGAGTCAGAAAAGATGAGGAGGGGAAAAATGTCAGTGGCCCCCACCTGGAAAACCATTCCTGTTTTGATGATCGTCGCGTTGTTGCCCCTCTAGTGCACAAAGCAGATGAAACCGATTAACAACCCCCTCTGCTACTTACCGGACCAAATCAACATCCAAGAAGTTTATTTAACTTAATGCTGTACTCTGATTACAAAGTGATCCTTTAATTTTTTTTGAGTAGTGTATAACATGGAGTCATAAAAAAACCTGCATCTTCTTTCAGTGTTAGATTCTGTTTAAAGTAACAGATTACAATTAAAAATGTCTGCAGACCTCAATCAGTTGTTCCATTCATGCTGATTTTGCACAGTTTTTATCTTAGTCAGTTGATTAACATGCTACTGTCATTTTGCACATCTCTGATGTTGCTGCTATTTTCAAATATCCATTACCAGAAAAAATGTCCATAGCCGTAAATGTTTGGGACGTTGCTTTAGTGAGGATACATCCAGATGTTCTCCAAAATGTCTGGTGGTGTGGTGAGGCCCTGGGCGCTCGATGCTTCAGCTCTTCAATCAGTAGTGAGCTTCTACTGGAACCTTGTCTGTTTCCAGGCTCTGTCAGGCTGTTCTTAGAGGTCAGCTGAGATGGTTGTGTTTTACCTTTCAGGTGTGGACAGCTGTGAAAAGTGGCTGAGCTGCAGGACTGCGTTCCTCCAGAAGTACCTGCGCCAGGTCCTGACGGAGCTGCCCAGCTGCCCCTGCTCCTACCCCTCTGAGGTCATCTACAGCGCCATCAACGTCCAGGACTCCAGGCTGCAGAGAGCCTACCGCTGGAGGGACGCCAGCGGACCTACAGAGCGGCTGGACATCTACAAACCATCGGCCCGGTTCTGCATTCGCTCCATGCTGTCATACCACAGCACCACGCTGGGGGCGCAGCACTGCTGCTACGACGGCCAGAGGAGGCTGATCACCCGTGGCAAAGGAGCCGGGGCGCCAAACCTGATCAGCACTGAGTTCTCTCCAGAGCTGCACTACAAGGTGGACATCCTGCCCTGGATCCTCTGCAAAGGAGACTGGAGCAGGGTCCATTCGGTGAGGCCGCCAAACAACGGGCTGGACTGCAGCCAGAACCCTCCGGAGGAAGTTTTCCAGAGCGAGCTGAAAGAGGCCCGGGAATACTGAGGCTTTGGACCCGGAATGAGCTGGAATGAGCCTGAAGGAGCATATTTATTATCCACTGAGTCTCCTCATGGAGAACATTCATGTAGCTGAACAGGAAGTGAATCAATGTCCTCATGTTGATCGAGCCGCTGAGAGCTGCATTTGAGTTCAGACCTTTATTGGATTTGGCACAAATAAAAAACAATAAAACTAAGAGGAACAAACAGCGTTTAAATCTATGATAAAACGTCCTGCAAACTCCAAAATCAGACCAAACCAATAAAGATGTGCAAAGAAGGAACGCTGCCAGACAGGAGGTCGGCTGCAGACCTCCAGATTATAGTTGTTGGAGGTGAGATGTTTTCCTTTGCTCTAAACTTAGACTAAAGTTAAGCTAAGTTATTAGTCTTCCTTTATATTGACCAGTGCTGCAGTTCCTCCCATAGATCATTTTTAATATTGCAGCAGGTTTCCTGCTCTGTGATGCTTGGATGTCATAAAACAAGCAAATGATCAACGGTTTCTACCGCTCTTTCATTTTTCTCTCCATATTTTCTTGTTGGACGTATTTCAGATTTGAACAGGATGAATGGATGGATGGATGATGGATGGATGGATGGATGGATGGATG